CGTAGATAGACTCTGGATCTTGACATCCGAAACGTCCACCAGGACTCGCTTAATCGAAAGTCCTTCCACTCCTTCGACCCCAAAAGGCGAACGGGAGCCGACTTTCCCGGAGATGCCTATCAACCTCGTAATCTCCGGCAACCACGACTTCTCGTATCTGTTCCGGCTTCCTGATCAAAGAGCACGTCCTCCGGACGAGGCTCCGGTTTTTCCCCGTTTTACGTTTTGCCGGAATCTCCGGGAGTCCGGGAAATGGCAAACTCCTGGACACCCGCGACGTGTGATGCCCAAGTCCCGGCCCTCCCCAAGTTCGGAGCAGGGAAACTTCCTTTGTATCCAGTCGACGGGAAACACGATATGCTGGAAGAAGAGCCGAAGCGTGCGTTGCAACCCCTTCACCTGTCCTGATACGGAAGAGTACCCGAGGAGCGTTACGCCCGCACAGATATTGATCGGCCAGGTCACGCAACAGGCTGCTTGTCAGCCTGCCCATCAGGCTACGTGTCGGGCCACCCTTCGCCCTTACACCCTTACAATCAACGGAAAAATCACTTTTAGAGTGAAGGACGAAAAATCACTTTTGGAAGGAACGACGAAAAATCAGTTTTAGAAGGAGCTAGGAAAACAGCGAACGAAGAAATCACCCTTAAGGACAAGTTACTAGAAATGTCGGATATCTTCTCAAGCTCAGGGTGCTAATCAGGCTGCGCCCTTAAGAGCCGAATTTTTCGTTCGAACCTCGACCACCTCCAGCTCCTCCCTTGTATATTTATCTTCTACGGATATACTCGGGTCTGGAAACAACGGTCAAAAATTGGATTTCCTCCGGAGGTTCCGGGAAGTTGGAATTCTCTCCAGGAGGGTCTCTCGTCGAGGCCGTAACCATCGAAGCGTGGCCTCCTAGGAGAATCAAGAAGAGAGATTTATCGCGTCGACCCAACGGGACGAGAAAAGTCGACGTGACCGAATTGATGAAGCGAACTTTTAACGCTCGCCGGAGATTCGCCACCCTCTTCCTTCCCGATTGATCCCAGACCAGCGGGGAAGCTCCGAGTTCGGATCCAAGGATCGATCGATCGCTCCTCCGATTTTCCCCGTCCCCTGTACTTGGCGCCGAACTCTCGATCCTTTTGAATCGTAGCTCTACGAGGCGTTCATTTTTCTGTAAACGCTCCATTAAGGCGTGTCGTACACTTCTTAACAGGCATTTTGTCTGTAGGGGGCCGCAGAGGTTTTCGGGAAGGATCTAGGGAGGAAATGTCGGAACTTTGGAACTTCTATCTGGTAGAGAATTGATTATTCATGACGATGTTCCTCGGGTACACGGCGATGATACCTCCCGATATTCGTCGAACCGCGTGCATTCGTTTTGCCTCGGTGGGCACAAAGAACAAATGACAAGCGTTCCCTCTTTTCTATTTTCCGTCCGTCCACGGGCGATTACGAAGACGAGTACGTCGAGTGCGGGATCAAAAGGATTCCACGCACTGCAGTTCCCAAAGGTGTTATCGCCGTGGTTTTCCGTGTCAGGTAGTCTCCCGTGTTGGACGACATTCCGAGTGACGCAAAGGAAAATGTCCCGATGTTGAATTTTAATTTCTTTTAATAATTACTGAATTAACCTCGCCATGGTCGAATTTCCAGGGGAACCGGTATAGGCCAATTTTCTTTAGATCTATATTTAAAAAATATATGACTCGACGAAATGGGAAGTAAAATGTAATTTTTTGAAATTGAACCGTCCTATTTGTCTAAAGGGGGAAATTGATGGCATCGGATTTTTTTTTTCGAAGCATTTTTTAATGAGAGCACCACTACCGTCACGTCCGAAACCGCGATGAAGCTCTTTTCTTCTCATCCGAGTCTCATTCTCAACTACTTTTCCACATTCGCCCTACTTCCTCCGTGTTTCTAGTTATCTTCTCGGAGAAATCCGAGATTTGAAACTCTTTTATGAGGGTGAACAAAGACCGTCGCCTCGGAGACATCGGATCTTAGAAGCGTAAGAGCTGATGCCTCGATATACGTATATCCCCTTTTCCGAGCTTGGTTTCCATTTTCCCCGTTCTTGTTTTTCCGTCTTGCTTCAACCCTTAAGACGGATTATCCGGCGCGGGAAATGCGCGTCTCGACTTCCGCCTGCGGAAGATCCCCTGAAGAGTTTTCATTCTGTCGTCGTCCTCTCGGGCATACTTCCTGTCGTCCGCAAACTGGAGGACTCGAATCGAGACCTGGAGGATTTCGCCCAGAAGTTAGGATAAGAGTTTACAAAGCGACGCTTTCGAGACCGACAACTGCGGCCTTCATTAAGCGGAAAATATCTTAGAGCTCGGATTAGCAAATTTCTGGACCCCCTTGAATCCATCTTTGCATAATTGGGGGGCGAAATTTCTTTACTAGTCGAGATCTTGTATTGAATTGCTTTTAGGGAGAAGCTCAATTCCAAAGGGTTGTTGCGGTCTATAGTATTTGAAACTCTTGTTTGCCGAAGGCACTATCATGTGCGGCACAAACGCTCAATTGGCGGTAGTTTAATAGGTCGGTCACCAGCTATGGCAGCAATCTCGTCAGTTCAATTTATTCCCATTGTCAACACGCGAAGCGGCCTGCTCGGTATTCTCACACTTTGGCTTAAACATTGTAATGGCCTAGAGTGTTTTTTTTTTTAACCAGATAGTTTTACTTTAATTTTTTTTAGAGTCTCTTCAGCGGTAAAAGAGGCGATTCGGGACTTTAACGTCGCCTTAATCATGTAAGGGTTCTTCGTGATAAGAAATTTTGTCATCCGAGGAAATTTCCTTTGGAAGAAGTGCCGATGGCGGAAATTTGTAATTTGAGGAAAGGGTCCTCGACGCTTTGAAAAATTGCTCCTTTCCGAGGAGAGTCCTTATAAACGATGAATTTCTAGTTGAGGAAGTCAAAGTGCCGATGGCATGAATTTACAATTTATCGGGGATATAATCGGCCCGACGTCTTTGAAAAACGTTCCTTTGCGAGGGTAGCACTTTGCCGCGACTTAGTGGTTGATCTTCCATCGGTTGGAGCGCCTCCGGAAATTAAGTCAAGTGATAAGTTACACCGTCGAAAGTGTTCGATACGTTTATGTGCTCGTAGGTCGTAAAGTCAATTGACCTCTAAGCGGATTATATTGAAACAACAATTTGATAACTGCATCCCATAACAAGATGCGGGACGGTTCTACTCGTAATCAGAGTAACTTACAAATGGACGACCGTGCAATTGCGGAAGTGGCTCGTTATCCCCTCAGCAGGACCGGCCAATCGTTAGCTTCTAGGTCCACGATCATTGCAGACCGGCCATTAGTTGCGACTGGTCTCGCTAATTTTTAACCACCACTCGGATACTCAAAATCCGTCAAGGCCGATCGAAGATCGTTCGTAACTTCGAGAAATGTCGGATTAAATAGGACTTGCAATAACCACGGTCGACGAGGTGGGAGCGGATTTCAGGAAAATTGTGCCGGACTCTCCGGGGAGCCACTTTTCTCAGTTTAAGGAGCTCTCTTTTAACAATACTGGCCTTGACACTTGGTTCTTTAACCACCCCCTCACCGGGGGTATTAAATGCTTAATGTAGGTCGGTTAAGTCTAGGGATCACTTCTCCACGAATTACCGGCAAAAGTTCTGCGGGAAAGTTCCCCCTTTTTTTATTCCATCGTTCAGGAAATTTGGAGCTTGCACGACTCGACATTTGACGTCATGGACGATTTAAGAGTTTTGCAACATTTACGTTAAGTACCTTCATCCGGTCTCGGCACGAAAGGGTTTCTGGAACGAGGTGATTACCGATGGCGTGACTTTTGCGACATAAAAGGAACACCGAAGTGGGAAAATGTCGTTCTGGAAATTGTGTCCGAGTTGTCCGGAATAATTCGCCGGACTTACTTAGGTCCTCTGCAAATCCTCGCAAATCCTTCCTTGACGCCAGATCGTCTTAACGATCCTCGCGAAGCTTTCCACGAATCTGGAAAGATTTCCCACAAGCGAACGCGTCGCATTTTCTTTATCGCCCGGCTTTTCTTCATTTTTCCATCGGTTGTTGGTAATCTCGGAGGCAATATTACGGACATTCCGATCCATTTGCAGCACGAAGGCTTTTTTAAGTCGAGGCTTAGTCGAGATAGCGTGTCCTTTGCCCCAGGAATGGAGGCAAAAGCTCGGGTCGCGACCAACAACGAGGAAAGGCGATTCTCGAGCGATTCTTCCGAAAGTTCTAATAATTAGCGGCAGATTAGCCGGGGTTGTAAACAGCACGGTTTCGCAACGATAGCGCATCTTTATTGTTTCGAGGGTTGGCACTTTCGAAGATAAGCTGGAGTTTAAGTGAAGCTATAAGGGAGTCCCGTATTTAGATGGTAGATATGCAAAGCCTTCGGATGATTTAAGGGTTTCCACGGGAAGAACGCGTCGGAAACGCGGAAACTATCTAAAACTATCGATTGCAACGATTTGCCGAACCCCGGTTTCATTTCATGAACATCCCCTCGTATCAGTTATAAAAGAAAGATCTCGTTACTTCGAAGAATAAAATCGAGAAAATAGGATCCGACCTTTCTTTCAAATAATTATTCTTTGAACGAAGGAAACATTTCTTTGGCTCGATGACATCTCTTCCCGGGGTGAAATCAGCTCTTGCCATTTTGCTCACCACTCCCCCCGAGAAATCCCGAAGTTCTTAGATTTTCTTTGAGGTTAGAATTCTGTGTAAACGCGGTCTCATATCCACTAGGTGGGAATATTCCACTTTTCCATTTTGCCGTTCCTTGCGGGGGCAAAAGCCCCTCGCCGTGAAAAGCACGGACGAAGGGAAACCTTGGAGCGCGCTAGCGCGTGGAGGTGGAGTTGGGAGGTCGAGGGGAGTTAGGGGGTCAGAGGGGCGCAGGGCGGCCTAAGAGGAAGTCGCCGCCGAGTGCGCGGCGCACTCCCACCCACTGTCGCCGGCGACCCTCCACCTCCTCCTCGGTCAGTCGACCCCGTGCATCGCGGCACGCCGGCCGCCGCGCGACACCGTCCCTGATGCCAACTCCAGCCTAGCCGCTACCAGGACGATACCGCAGGACATTTACCGGGGTCGAGGGGGTAACTTCGCCAGAAGGAGCCGAGAAAGAAGGGGCGAGGACAGAGGACGCGTCGAGGGAAGGCGGTGAGAGGGAAGAGATGGACTAGGTTAGGCTAGGTTAGGGCAGTGAGTGGGTGTGCAAAAGTGCGCGGCTTTGGAACCAGGGAAGGTTAGCGGGGGGAGCTGGTGGAGGAGGCCTGGGTCGTAGGCTTCAAGGAGATCGTGACCTGGTGTGCGGTACGGGATATGATCAGGTTGTTGCTGGTGGGAACGTAGCACCGAGTGGTTTGAGATATTGGAGAGATTGGATAGAGGATCCAGGGAACCTGGGTTTGCTGGGATAGATTTTGGGGGAGGACGAGAGGGTTCGGATTCTTGGCCAGGGTTGACATCGAAGTGGACCACTGTCGACAGGAGGAGATAGAAGTCAAGGATCACTCCAATAGGAACCTGGAAAGTCGCCAGGTGGCGATTCGTTCCGGTTAGGCGGGAACTTGTTGAGTCTCCCCCAGGCGGGGTGGGACCGGAAGCGGAGGGCAGAACATCCCACTTCCGGCATGTCGTGCGGGGCGATGGTAGTGCTGATACCGCTTTTGGGGCTGGCTCTGCTCGCCCGGGCCAGTCCTCGAGAGGTTCGCAACGCCCCGCTCGTTGTGGAGACCACCAGCGGTCTGGTGAGAGGACTGGCTCGGACGGTGCTAGATCACGAGGTGCACGTCTTCTATGGGATCCCGTTCGCCAAGCCGCCGATCGGGCCGCTGCGGTTCCGCAAACCGCTGCCGATGGACCCCTGGCACGGAGTCCTCAACGCCACCATGTTGCCCAACTCCTGCTACCAGGAGAGATACGAATACTTCCCAGGGTTCGAGGGAGAGGAGATGTGGAACCCCAACACCAACATCTCCGAGGACTGCCTGTACCTCAACGTCTGGGTGCCCCAGAAGGTCCGACTCAGGCACCAGGGCGCGGAAAAATCCAGGGTCCCCATCTTGGTCTGGATCTATGGTGGAGGGTACATGTCGGGAACCGCCACCCTGGATGTCTACGACGCCGACATCATGGCCGCCAGCAACAACGTAATCGTCGCTTCCATGCAGTACCGAGTTGGCGCATTTGGCTTCCTGTACCTGAACAAACACTTCGCTAACAGCGAGGAGGCCCCTGGGAATATGGGCTTGTGGGATCAGGCTCTGGCTCTGAGGTGGCTGCGAGATAACGCGGCCGCATTTGGTGGTGATCCCGACCTTATCACCATCTTTGGCGAGTCTGCTGGGGGCGGATCCGTTTCTTTGCATCTCATTTCCCCCGTCACCAGGGGGCTGGTTAGGAGGGGCATCCTGCAGAGCGGCACCCTTAATGCCCCCTGGAGCTACATGACCGGGGAAAAAGCTAACGAGGTCGCCAGAGTCCTCGTGGATGATTGCGGATGCAACTCCACCATGCTTTCCGAGAACCCTGCCAGGGTCATGGCTTGTATGAGGTCCGTCGATGCCAAGACCATCTCCGTTCAACAGTGGAACTCCTATTGGGGCATTTTGGGGTTCCCCTCTGCCCCCACCATCGATGGGGTGTTTCTACCCAAACATCCCCTGGACCTACTCAAGGAAGCCGATTTCGAGAAGACGGAGATACTCATCGGGAACAACAAAAACGAAGGTACGGTGCGAGCTTTTGGAAGATTAAGGCATTGATGCGGTCACATTTCAGCCTCGGTGAAGTCAGATTTTCTTGAATTTTTCACTCGGCGACGCCATTAAAGAAAAAAAAAAATGGATCGCGGGCGAAGGTTGTGCTGCGGTAATATGAGCTCGTTGGAAAAGTAACTTAGGATATTTCGCTTCTAAGGAGCTTAAGGGAAGCTGTCTTGATGCTCCTCGCTCCTCGAGAGCTTTCCAGGGGGCTGACAATCTACTCGGTTACCAACAAGATTACATGCCAGAGATAGTTCGGGCAACTAGGTAAATACGGCATTCAAAGTATCTTCGAACCCCGGAGAACTAATTCCCTGTCATCGGTCTAATAAACAAAACGTTATAAAAAAAAAAAATAGAAATTCGAAGACCGGAGAAAGAACCCCATTCTTTTTTAATAGCGCACTTTCGTTTGAGAACGTACGGTAGATGTATCAGCGAAGAAGGATGGGGGGATTCAGGGGAACGAGTTCCGTCCTCTCGGGTACACCCTCTCTCGGTAATGTTTAATTAAATGTTATTTCAGTAAATTAATTTCCCTTGTACGCGCCGGCGTGTTACGCGGTAAGCGTGCTCGGCTCGGGGATCAGCGAAAGCTTCCCGTAGGGCAATGGAGGGAGTCAGGCCGAGATTAAATCAGGCTTAGAAAAGATACATCAACTAATTACTATATGACTCCGACCCTTGGGTTTCTACGGTAAATCTCTGAGCAAAATGTCGAGCACCCCCCGCGAAAAGACTGATCGATAGAAAGGGTGCCTTCAATGGATGCTCTACTTCGCGGTTACACCGGCATGAAAGCAGCCCTGCATAATGCCGCCTACTCGTGCATTAATTAGCCCTGCTTTTATTCCACCCCTTCGTCATTATCAAGCGCATTTATTTAAGCTACCCTGCCGATCGAACTAGTCGAGCTTCATCACCTGGGATTTTTCTCGCCGCGGAGGAGCTTCGCCCTGTCTCGTCAAATCGCGTGGATATTAGTGGAATAAATGTCATGGGACTAAAGAACTTTTTTTTTTAATGATATATCGCAACGCCGTTGGGTGATTTTTCCTTTTCGCTGATTATTCCCATAATTTGGGATGGTTAATTGAAATTAAACGGGAATCCTGTTTTCGTCGGGTCGGAGGTCACTCTCGTTAATCTCCATAGGAATCGGGCGAACGCGCAATTAGAGCGCGAAACGAGGGCGGGGCGGGAAGCTAGCTTAAAAATGAATTACGATTCGGACTTGTCGCTTTTTGCATTCCCCCGGATGAAAGGGACGGAATTAGCGTGGCGCGATCGCGACGTCGGTAAAAATTTCACGCAGTGACCCGTCCATTACCGCGAACAATTATTACTCCCAGTTTTCTCGTCACGTACCGAGCAACGAGTCGTTCAAAGGGGCGACCGGCGAATTATGACTTCGCGACGAGGGGCGAAGCTCGAACAGCTGATCCTTAAGTCGGTTCGGAATCTCCTAACAGAGACGAATTTGTGAGAATTCAATTTCCTTGAAATTTCTTTATAGGAATTGTTGAAAATTCGCATGAAATGTCATGTTTCATCGGTGGGGAGACCTTCCTTATGGTCGCCATGTTCGCGTTGTGAAGTTTCAAACGGTTTGGTACACCCAGTTCGGAGGAAAGTGTCACGAACGGCTGACTCTTCAGGTGGCACTTTCATATCACCTTAATGCCGGGGTATACGTTTAATATGCTCGTACAGTTTAGCACTAAAAGCGTATTACACCGTTGCGGTGCCTCGACGACGCATCCCAGTTTCGCCGTCAGCATCCGAAACGACAGTTTGCGAAATGCATCTTCCCCCCCATGTACGAGATAAAATTCCCGGCTTGTACGAACGTTGCACCGAAACTTCCGGGGAAACGTCTTTGTGTCTTACTCGGAGGCGCCTCCACTTCCGGAAACTTGAAATTTTGAAGAAGCGCGAGTGCAGAGCGCTTGTCGTAAAGAGAGACCGCGATACGACCGCCGTCGGGGTAAAAAGTACAAATGGGGTGCATTTAGAAACGCCGGAAGAAAAAAAGAAGCAAAAATGGAAAGGTCGGAATTTCAGGGAGTCTGAAAGTTTGCGTCGAGGAAGTGGGGGGAAAAGATCTTGTTGCACCGAAAAAAAAAAAAAAGAAACAATATTTTTTCCCGCGTGGAGCCTTAACTTCGGGAAGTAGGAATCGCGGGAAATGACTTCGTTCGACGCGACTTTGAGGGAAGTTGAAAAAGCGGAGGCGCAGGTTTTTCCGTCATAGAGGGTGATGCACGACGCCACGTGACCCTGCACCCTCGGTGTACAAATTCGAACGTGTGGCTCTTTGCGATTTACGGTGACACCTGAATTTACGATACGCTGGAAGGTGTCTCGTCGCCTGAATGTGGCGATCCATCATTTCTGCATTGCACGCTTCAAGATTGTTGCCGGGGGGGTGGCGGAAAAGCCATCAACGATTTCCTATGTCGAACGGGGGTGGTAATGAAATTCCATCGCGGTAATCGCGATAACTCGAGAAAATTAAATTTATGGTTTATGGCGTGCACTTGGCGCGACACCATCCTGAAAATTTGCGTCGCATGAAAAGTGACCTGGCATCGTTCACAGTCGTTATGGAATTATCTCATTGAGATTAATCCGGTAAAGGTGTGGATGCCGTGTAGAGTTTATCCCGGCACCTTAAGTTATGGGAAAATATCCCGGGTCTCTTTTCATGCCGCGCAGACGAGAGGGGTTTTCGAGATGGCGAAGATTTCTGCACCTCGGAAACGTTTACGGGGCGAGAGTCGTAAAAGCGGAGATAGAAATCGATACTAGGGGGTCGGTTCGAGTTTTTACAGCGAGCGCAGGTGCGGTACTTGGGGGGAAACAAAAACTGCAAGTATACCACCGATGCTCTTGCAAATTACGAGCGGGCCAGGAATGCCATAGACTCTCCCTTTCATCCGCATCGATCCGAACTTGGACCCTCGAAGCCAGCATCCGGGGCGAATACGTCGAAACGTACCCCGTTAAAAAATATTCAGAACACTTCCGATACCGAAAATCGTACGGAAGCTATAAAGAAAATTCGTAAATAAATTTATATCCATATGACATCGTGGTTACAACTTTCCGAAATTCCGTGGGAAAATTATCGCACCCTAGAATTTCTATGTCGTATCAGTGAGACACCCTTCAAGCTTCGATCTTGAAAGATGTCCTATAAAATTTGTCAGACACTGAAATTAAGAGAAACGAAACGACGGAATTTCGATGTCCACTTTTTGAAGGGGTGAAAACGAGGTGCACCAGCGCCAAGTACGAGTAATCGACTGTTATAACCCCTAATCGGGGTCCTGGCTCGTGTACACTATCGGCCCAGGAAACGAGAGAAAAAAAGAGGAGCGCGACTCGACATTATTACCCCAGAGTGGGCTGGCTAGCTGCCAGATTCAACAGATGCGAACAATCGGGCTCCGGAAGGAGTCCAGGAATGGGAATGGAGCTCCTGGGATCTGGACTGATGGTAGGAATAACGATTAGGCGTGTCCGGCTCGTAAAACTCGGTCGAAGGTCGGGACGCAATCGAATGGGGACATTAATCGGGTTTACCGCGATCCTGCGCCACCTCTAACCTTCGATCAATCGAACCTCCACCCACCTCTAAGGACCCGGTCCTATCAAACAGGAAAAATCGGTCACAAAGTAAATCTCACGGGTGTCGGGATCTTACTCGGAGGGATTTTGATAACAGCTCTGGACATTTTTCTTTTTTATCTTTATTCCCTCCAAACTCTGGAATAAAGTGAAGACAGGAAGTCTTTAACCTAGATTCCTGTACGCGAAGTTTGCGTACGGAGAGTGGCTTCTGATATTGCGATCACTCGCTGAAAGATGCATTACGTTGTTAAGATAAGTCCAGGGTACGTTAGAAGTAGTTACGAATAATTACCCCTTAGGGTATCCTATTCTGGGCCAGATAATATGAAACTCCAATATGCGCGCCCAGGCCTCGGGGGTGTACTTGGAAATCGATAATTCCCCCATCGAAACAGCCTGCGTTTGCATCGAAATATTAAGTTACAGACAATAACCCGGTTTAAAGGAGAACGTAATTACCGTTCCTGCATTTCGGTAATTCGGCCGGCGCTTCAAAGGACCCTTGTCGTAATTACTTACCTGCGCAACCTGGAAATACGTGTGGGGTACAAAGAATGCAGGATATCGAAAAAAAGAAAAAAAAAATGAAAGCCATCTACGTACAACCTACCGCATATCGATTAATTTCTCGCATACCATTATATCCTCATATTGCAATTTCTCTCGCAGACCTTGAATTAAATTTTTCCATTTTATTCACTTTTCGAGGTACGTTTCGTTCCATTCGTGATCGCATCCTTCGGAGACGTTACCTAACTTCCGAAGGGTCTGTATTCGCGATGTACCCGTCGAAGGTGTGCCCCTAACCTCGTAATGGTACCTCGGATCCTGATCCAGTTTTACGCACCGTTAGTCGCATCGAACTCGCACGATTCCCCGATTATTCGCGATATCTCGAACGGAGCTCGAGGAGAAGCTTGAACGTCCTCGACTTCCTTCTCCGGTTCCGCACTTCGCGCCACCCTTGTCCTACCCTTGAGCAACGGCAACCTGTTGCCCCTTTTGTAATCCAAGTACCGCTTCTTATGAGTTCTGCTTTGGCTCGAACCCCTTTCTTTCCGGGGAAATCATTTCGGCAGGAAGAAACGCTCAATTTGACATATTCCAAATGTGCTTCGCGCCTGTATATGCATTTGGCGCGAAACTCTACCGAGATTCTTAATCCACTGATATATTTGATCGGATCTATTGTTAACCGTGCCCGTGATAAAGGACTTTTCATATGTTGGGTTGTTCATTGTCGTATAGAAACACCCGCCGGTTAGGAAAGTCATGTTTAATGTAATTGTTGGCTTCATCTCCTGTTCTGGGATCGCCGAGGGGACGTTC